TCTTTAAACACACGCCAGAGCCTACCCTCTCCAGCCTAAGCAGCGACTCTGCAAGCTTCCCTAGAGAAGGATGGACGGGAGTCTAGGATCTACAATAATGCAGCCAAGGACATGCTGCTCTGCAGGCAAATGACCACAAGCTCTCGGAGCAGTGAAGCAAGCCACCTCGCACAGCCCCGTTCTAAGCAGACAGGATTTTCTGGTGGTGAGAGGGAGAAGAGACCAAGAGAACCTCTTCAACAAAGATTTTGCAGAAAAGAAGTCTCAATAAGCCATTATGAGAAGCCAGTGACATTAGGAGGCCTGTTTAAAGTAACGAAATAAGCTGAACTATTTTTGTGAAAATTTAATTTAAATGGATTACAAAATGCCCATAAATACTTTTTTAAGGAAATAAGGCAAAATGTAGTTCCAAATATATAGTTATTATTGCCTTTCTTTTCCCTTAACCAGTAAAAATTCCTTCATAACAAATATTACATGGAAGGTTTCTGTACAATAGGGAGATGCCATATCCATAAATACTTAATCTGGAGCATTTGTTTAATATCCAAACTCTTAGAATAATAGCCCAGAGGATTTTCCGGACAATATTGCAACTATTTTTGACTGAGTGCAAAGCGATGGGCTAGTGACAGTGACTAGCCTACGGTCAGTACCTAGAGCACCGACTGAGGCAGGGACTGAGGTTTAAGTCTGAAAGCTCATGTTTTACACTGTAACATTTGGATGTTATTTTGATGACGGAAGGCTTCTTTTTTTTTTTTTTTTTAAAGATTTATTTTTATTATTTTTTCATTGGAAAGGCGGATATACAGAGAGGAGAGACAGAGAGGAAGATCTTCCGTCCGATGATTCACTCCCCAAGTGAGTGCAACGGGCCGATACTATGCCGATCCGAAGCCAGGAGCCTCTTCCGGGTCTCCCACGCGGGTGCAGGGTCCCAAAGCTTTGGGCCGTCCTCGACTGCTTTCCCAGGCCACAAGCAGGGAGCTGGAAGGGAAGCGGGGCTGCCGGGATTAGAACCGGCGCCCATATGGGATCCCGGGCGTGCAAGGCGAGGACCTTTAACCACTTGCGCCACCGAGCCGGGCCCCGGAAGGCTTCTTAAAAGTACAGTATCATGGAGGGCAGAAAAAAAACTGGACAACTCTTCTGGCCAAGCGTTGACAGCAAGTATCCGGCCAAGTGGAGACAGCAAGGTGGACTGCGTTAGCCGATGAACCTTGGAGCAGTGAGAACATCTCAGAACTAATGAAGCCACCGAGGCAGGACCTTCGGAACATGTTCCACCATCAAGGACCCTGGGACGACATCAGAGCCATCCCCATCCACGGGCACTGACACAGTGAGGCTGCTGGAAGCGGCCCTCTCTCCTTTTTCCCCCAATTTCCCCAGATACAGGGAAAAAAGGAGACTGGAGACAGTTGTCTCATCCACTTTCCCCCATCCTTTGACCCTCTCCACCCTAATTAGTGATCCACAAGGGCATGCATTCTTTTTCATGATGTAAACATCATAAAATATTTATTAAAAAAAGTAATCCTTAAAAATGTACAGTAAAATCTTTGCTTGTTAAGCTTACAAATTTATATATTATATATAATTCAGTAATTTATAATATATTCTGTAGTATGATCTAGACATTCCCAGTCCTGAACTAGTATCTTTTACCGAGCATTGCCCAGCCACCATCAAAAGCAGAGAGCAGGCGCGTGAGGCACGGTAACCACAGTGCCAGCACCTGTCACCCTCCAACTTCGTGAAAAACCAAAACCGGACCTCTGAAGCTGAGAGTTCTAAGAAAAACAGAAAGTGCTATTTTACATATGAAGATACAAATTAAAAAATTATTTACTCTAAAATGCAAATGCAGACTAAAATACAAATTGAGGACAGGCTCAGATACAGAAACAGTAACAGGCTCTAAGTCAGTCAGAGATCTGCTTGTTGAAAGATATGACTTATCTATTTATCTACTTATTGGACCCAGTGCAATGGCTCAGTGGCTACATTCTTGCCTCTCATGCACCAGGATCCCATTTGGGCACCAGTTTCTGTCCTGGTTGCTCTACTTCCCATCCAGCTCCCTGCCTGTGGCCAGAGAAAGCAGTCGGGGATGGCCTAAAGCCTCGGGACGCTGTACCCCACATGGGAGACCCTGAGGAGGCTTGAGGCTCCTGGCTTCAGATCAATTCACTCCAGTCATTGAGGTCAACTAGGGAGTGAACCAGCAGATGAAAGATCTTTCTCTCTCTCCTCTCCATACATCTGATCTGCCTTTTAAAAAATAAATAAATAAATCTTCATTTATGATTGCTAATATTTTCCATGATGCAGTTTTGCAGGTGTAGGGATTCCCCTATTCCCCTCCTCTTCCTGTTTTCTCCTCCCACCTTTTCCCCCCTTGTTATGACAGTACATAGTCTTTTAGCAACAACAATTTTTTCATTCCGCTATTTAAGTGCCTCATGGCATTGTAGGGATAGACAAAGGCAGAACGTGCAGTATCACACTGCCAAGGTACAGTAAACTGCTTCACTGGGAGTCCTCCACTTATTCAGGAGAACAGTTTGAAAGAAAAACACAAGTCAGGAAGCTGGCACAGCCAGGGGCTGAGTGTAGGCTTTCCTAGACTGTGTCCAGAGAGCCAAAGTTAAGGAGACCCTGGGAAGAGTGAGCTGACGCCAGCCCTGGGCAGGGCAGAGGGATGAAGAGATGCTGTGTGCCACACAGCTGCCCTGCAGACGAGACCATCCCGAGAGCCGCTGCACACCGTGCCTGCAGAGCACCCCAAGAAGCACACCTGGGCCCCCCTGTTAGCAAGGGGCCAGCAAAGTGACGACATCCTGCAAGACTGTGACATTTTCCCACCAAAATAAACTGTCCCTTTAACTCGAGTCTCCAGAAACTTCCTGAAGCATTCTTGAGTCTTCTTCCTGATATTCAGAAAGTGAAAGAAAGGCAAACCAGCACCTCATTTCTCACTCATGACACATTTCCTGGTACTTACAAATACATCGCAATTTTGTCCTACTTAAACTATACTCATATTCCAGATAACTGGAATCACAGATAGTAACTAAAGATCTTTTTACCTAATTTAAATTCAACTGCTCAGGTTAAATATGGATCCTGTTAATTCTAGTTTCAGGTCACCTTTTATTTGCATTTAAAGTATTTGCTTTAATGTTAGATTGGATTAATAAAATCCAACTTTTAATTTCATATTACCTTGTAAGTAACCTGGAAGAAAAACAATCAGACTGGTAATTGATTTATAAGGCTACCTTTAAACACTGACTTTGTTACTGAGATTTGGACCTGATTCTGAACTCGAGTCCATTAACTGACACCCACCGTGCTACCATGAGACACTAGCCAGAGTAGGTCTCCTGAATTCTATCTCATCTCTTTCACTAATGCTATGACCACTGCATTTAATTCTCTTTAATTAAAATGCTGCCCTTCAATTAATGCAAACTCATTTTACAGAGGCTTCCATATAATTCAGTGGATCTCAACTGATGGGCCTCCAGGGGGACAAGTGTTCTGGATACATTTCTGGTTGTCACCCCTGGGGGCACTGTGGCATAAGGAGGAGGAGCAAGTGACGCTGCTGAGCATCCCACAGGGCACAGGATGCCCCCTCAACCTCAGCTGTCCACAGCGCCTAAATGCCGAGCGCTGGGAAGGAGTTCAGCTTAGCCCTTTCACATTTCATAATGAGTGATTTTTAGCTAATCAATGTTCTTAAGTATCAATAACAAAATATCCTCTGTAGCACAGAGGATAAAACCACCACCCATGGTGCCAGCATCCCATATGAGCCCTGGTTTGAGTTCAAACTGCTCCATTTCTGAATCAGCTCCCTGCGCTCCCTGCCAATGTGCCTGGGAAAGCAGTAGAAGATCGCCTAAGTGTTCGGCACCTTGCACTCACAGCATAAACCCAGCGAAGCACCTGACTCCTGGCTTCTGACTGGCCCAGCTCCAGCCTTTGTGACCACTAAAGGAGTGAACCAGCAGATGAAAGAACTCTTTCAAATACACAAATGTTAAAAAGAAGAAAAAGTGTTCAACCACTGGTCACCTTGCCGCTGAAAACAAAGTATCTGAGTCAAACTAATTTCTAACTCACAATGTCTCCAAAAAGCTGTCCTAGAATGTAGAGAATCTGCAAGTAGTGCCTTAGCAAACTCTCTTGGAAGGCAGGGATATATAGAGATATTTTTGAGCAAATAATTATAAGTACTATAACTATTAGGCTTGACATAATTAAAAATTTTCTATGCAGTTAAAATGTCAAACCATAACGTTTCCTAATGCCCGTTCATTTCTAAAGATGCAAGTAGCAACAGCATTTTTATATCCACTCATTTTCTTCTTGTCACTCTGATCAATCATTGAGTGACAAACTAGACAGATTCACCTAACCTGGCCAAATCACAGCTTAAGTTAGTGTTAAAACATCATTTGTACTTTCCTCAAGTTGTCTCACTATTCTGAGCTTGCATGAGCAGTAACAGCACCCAGTGCGGGGTGCCCGGATGTGGCTAACCCTGACCCTGACCCTATCCTGTGTGGCTTCTGTGTGCAGGAATGTGGGATGCCAGCTTTGGGGGGGAGGACATGAGCCAAAGCCCTGACAGCGACTTCAACAGGACACACCTTGTTTGCACAGCCTCTTCTGACTGTCACATCCAGCACCCAGGACTTTAGCTCTCAGTAATACCTTCCCTTTCTTTTTCCATTTTTATTCTCATCAATTATAAAAACAGCTTTAAGCAAGCTTAAAAGGTGAGCCCTTTGTTAATACTAAACAAAAATAGAAATGCCACATGGAAACATGAAGGTTACTCTGTGTATGCTTTCAGGGAAGGGCACCAGGATGTATCAGGCACCTTGGCCCACGAGCTTTGCTCTCAGGCCTGCGAGTTGCACCACACACCACACCACAGCACACCGCACATCACACCGACAGGGTGCTCCAAGACATACCTGGTTACTGCTGCTGGGGGCTGACAGGTTGGCTGGACCCACACTTGCCGAGAGGGAATCAAGGAAGGCTTGGTCGGCCACTGAATTTCCACAAGAAAACTGATCCTTTCCATCTCCGGGCAGTATCTGAGTGCAAGAAAGCACAGCCATTTTCACTGGTCAGGGTCACTTTAATTATGAGTCTCAGGGGACAGGCAGGACTGTCAGATGTCATGGAGAAGGGCTCGGGCTGCATTTCAGGTATCTTGACAAGTTGGAGTTCACTTCCACTTAGCTCCAACTACTTCTGGATCCCTCTTGTGAGGGGTTTCCTCTCCTATGAACTACAGGAAGGATGCTGTGTAACATTCAGCTATTTGTCTTCCTGCCACCGATTTTAGCTTGATTCCATGCAGCCTGAGCGCAGCCACTGGAGCATTTCTCTTTTAAATGGGCTGGCTCAGATCATGGTTCAGACCCCGGTCGGCCTTGGCGGTTCCTCCACGTGCAGGTGCGTTCTGCCGCCGTGGGCTGCTGCACACTCTCACCCCCCAGGTGACTGACTGCCACTGGGTGCAGTGTCCTTACTGACCTTCTGCTGCACCTGCTTCTTCCACACAGGAGGAATTCCTTTCTTAAAAGACAAGCAAAATGAAGGATGCAGTAACTTCCTTTCCATAGTAAGCACAATCTCAGAAAATGGGATTAATGCCAACATCTACCTAGATACTTAGATCTTCAAGATTTTCTCAATGGTGCTCTTTTTTTTTAATATTTGTTTTTATTACCAAGTCAGATATACAGAAAGGAGGAGAGACAGAGAGGAAGATATTCCATCTGATGATTCACTCTCCAAGTGACCACAAGAGCCAGTGCTGTACTGATCCGAAGCCAGGAGCCAGGAACTTCTTCTGGGTCTCCTATGTGGGTGCAGGGTCCCAAGGCTTTTGAGCCGTCCTCAACTGCTTTCCCAGGCCATAAGCAGGGAGCTGGATGGGAAGCGGGGCCGCTGGGATTAGAACTGGCGCCCATATGGGATCCCAGGTGTGCAAGGCGAGGACTTCAGCCGTTAGGCCACGGCGCCTGGCCCAATGGTGCTACATCTTATAGCATCCTGGAAACACGGTGCCCAGAGCTAAGGTGAGGTGCAGACGTGAGGTAACGGGGTTCAGGGACCTGGCTGTGAAAGGCTGGGGGTCTACTGACTTCATGCTTTTCTCCAGAAGGTTCAGGACTGCCTACCCTCTTAACTGAGAACTACAGTGTCGGCCAGGTCTCTTTCCTGTTCTGCCTGCAGGTCCCAGCAAACACCCTTCCAGAACCAAAGCTGTTTTTTTTCCCCTGATTTTTCTCAATGAGTACCAGGCAACATGAATTCAACCACCCAGTATGAGACTAATTCATCAAGCACTCAGTACTCAGTCTGAGTAGACCACAGTCAGCAGGGGGCGCCAGTTGATTCAGAAGAGGGCCTTGTCCCCTTGCAGGTGTGCGCTGGTCACGAAGTGCTGCCATGGGGGTTGTCACACCTTCCCGGGCACCTGAAACCAGGAGATCTCCGCAGCAGTCTATTCCCTGGATGTGAACGATGGCCCAAAACCTTGGGAACTAGCACCCACGGGGGAGAAATGTGGGGGAAGCTCCTGGCTCCTGGCTCCTGGCTCTGATGAGTTCCTGGTCATCTGAGGAGTGAACCAGCAGACAGATCTTTCTCTGTCTCTCCTTTCAGTAAATCTGCCTTTCCAATAAAAAATAAATCTTAAAAAGACAAACAAAAAAAAAACTTGAACTTTGTAAACTGATTCTAAAACAGCTTTGTAGGCAGGAGTTTAACACAACAATGGCAAAAGGAAAACAGGGACATTTACTCACAACAATTAGAAGTTCCTATCCTCTGAAAGAATTTCTCTAAATACATTTATTCACTCTTTGGAGCTTCATTATACAGCAATACTTCGTTCTAGTTCCATATCAACATATTTTCCATATTTAAGTAATAAGTATATATTACTTTCTCAAGGGAAATCTTTTTAAAAAACATGCTGTGTTCTGACCTTCTGAGTTGATGTTTTATACGAAGATGCTTGCCTAGGTTGGCTTCAGTAGATGCCAGCTCTTACCTCAACATAGTCTGTGGGAACGAGCCCTCGTTCTCCTTTGTTGTTCCTTCCTTCTAACCATCCGCCACCAACATCCTGAAAAATGCAAAGAAGAGAGACAAGGATGAAAGCCCAAACTGTAAAAATGTTGCTTTGGGAATTGCTGTCTTGCACTTCTTTCCTACTTGCCAGTGTGCTGCACACGCTGAGGGGTATTCTACTGGCCCTCACCTGCAGGGCCCTGCCCGCTGTGCCCCAGGGGCAGAGAAGCTGTGGTGTTCAGAGCCCAACTCAGGGCTTTGCACAGGGCAGCTGGCTCTTGGAACCCCAGGTCATGTCAGGGACAAGGCCCCCACTTTTAACCACCAGCTACAAGAGTGGAGACATCTTGGTCCATGCATACCAGGGGATGTTGAGCCTTCCAGCTCCTGTGAATGCCCGAGCGGGACTAATTTGCACTGACTTAAGAATACTCAGAACTGGAATAGTCTATTATCATGGGAAAGCAAACCAATATTTGGTTCCTACGTTTTTTTGGATAAATAGTATTAATAAAGTAAATAAAGTAGAACTCTCTCTATATCTCTCCATATATCAAGATTCCCATTTTTCCACATATTATCCCATCAAAGTCCTACTCTTTTCCCTCAGAAAAGCCACGTTTGCAAACATGGCCCTAACTAGAAGTTATTTAACTTGGGGGGAGGGGGCTATCTGGTCCCAAGGCACAGACACTTGCAGCCCACATCAGAACAGCTGCTGTTAGTACCCGGGCTCCTGACTCCAGCTTCTTGCTAATGCAGACAGCGGCAGGCAGCAGTGGCAGCGCGAGTAACTGAGTTCCACACTCAAGTGGGAGGCGTGCTGGGTTCCTAGGTCCCGCAGATGAAGAGTGCTTTTCCTCCCCTTTTCTCTCTCTCCCTAAAGCTAAACTTGACCTCAGTAATTCTTCCAAAGAACAGGACTCACTGCCACACATTCACAGTGCTCCAGGGCGTAAAGGCCACACAGCCCTGGGATTCTTTCAAACACCAAGTCCTCTGGGCCTGATGCCCAGGCCTCTTTGATCTCACCTGTTGTCACTGCCCAGTCATGTCCTAGACTCTGGTCATTGCAACTTACACTTGAGAGCAATGCACGTGTCACCTGCTCACAACATCACCCAAGAAACCTAAGGAAAACCTCTCAACCACGTACCCTCTGTAGCCCATGGTCACACGTGATGCTCAACTTCCTTGGCCTGTTTCCCTTGGGCACAGGCAGAATCTGTACTCCGGGTGCCTTGCCTACATGTCATGTTCTCTGCTTGTGAGCGCAAAGTGTCACATGTGGCTGCGACTCCTCACTCTAGGAGACTTTGCAGTGGGACAAGCACCATGCAAACCGCTCTTCTCCCTGGGTCTCGCGACCCTGGCTTATAAAACAACCCCTCCCCTATGGGATGTACCTGAAACCTGATAACATGATGTGTTTGTATATATATACACACACACATATATATAGTGTGTAGTGTACTTTGGGTTAGAAAAAAAAAAATTAAGAGGTATTTTGTTTTTCAGCCCCAAGGCATCCCAGTGGGAGGTGGGTACAAACACAATGACAACAGCATGCCGTGGTCCCAGCCACAGGCCCGCCCAGAACCCAGGGCTCTGCTCTCTGTAGAGGATGTCTTTTACAGCATTCCCACAGAGGTTGGGGCTGGAAGAACCGGAAAAGGCATGGCAGGGAGGCAGGGGGCAGGAGAGCACCCTGAGCAGGAGAACAGAGTCACGAGGAGGGCGTGTAGAGTGTATGCAGGAACACGCCTGTGTGCAGGTGCGGCAGAGGACTGCGGTCTGATGGCAGCATCCCTCAACCTGCAGCAAGGACAGGGATGGCCAGAGTGCACTTCAGGAGCCAAGTCAGCCCGTGGGAAGGGGAAAGCTGAACTCAGGCTGCTGACACGCTCAGAGGAGCAGCTAGACGTGAAAGAGACTGGAGAGTAAAGTGGTGGCTCTAAGGGCTTTCCAGTAGAGGTCTTGGTGGACACGACTGAGGGGCCGGGTGCAGCTTCCGGCTGAAAACAGAGTTCATGGCCAGGACTGGTGTGTGTGGGCGAGGAGCTCCCTCTCAGACACAGCAAGTGGAAGCACTGGTGGGAACACTGAGCAAATCTGCATCGGACACAGTGCAGTCAAACCCACGGGCTGAACGAGCCGGCCCAGCTGCAGCTACGGATTAGCATACAGGTGGCAGGGGAGAAAGCCGAGCACACAGAGCAGAGTGAAAATGAGCCTTTCAAGGAAACAGACAGAAAGCCGTGGGCAGAAAGAACAGGAGACCCCAAAAGACTACTAGAGAGCACGTGGGGTCCACGGTGTCAGACACAATCTCGGCCCGTGCTACCAGCCACCATCAGGAAAACAGGCGTGCAGACCTTGCTGAAAACCAAGAACACGGACAAGGGCAAAGCTTTCTATTTCTGTATCTCAAGGCAGCCAGCCCAGTGCGTCATATGCACAGGAGTGACAGTAACGGGGTAGAGGACAGAGAAGGCTCCAGGCCTGTGGAGAAGCCCTGCAAGGAGCCCAGCGCGGAGCCCGGCAAGGAGCCCGCAAGGAACCCAGCACAGAGCCCAGCGCGGAGCCCTGCACAGAGCCCAGCGCAGAGCCCAGCGCAGAGCCCGGCAAGGAGCCCTGTGCACAGGCCATCAACTTTTCCAAGACTCTTGTGTGCAAGGATTTCCAAAATTATACTCAAATAAGCCCATCTTTCAGTTTTTCATGAACTTCTGGAGCCTAGTACTTCAAAGACCTTACAATAAAATTAATTAAGAAGAACATGAAATTATTTTGAGGCAGCAATCACCTAGAGGCAACAGCAAAAACTGGAACAGGATCTTGAACAAATATCACTGAAAAAAACCCTAGTATCAGTTTGCTTCTGAGCTTTCTGTCAACAAACATTATTGAAAAAACTTCAATAGCTTAGAGAGGCTTTATTTTATGGAAGCGAACAGCCATACCTCCCAAGGAAGGAAGCAGAGCACACGGATGCTAATCAGATAGCAGATACACGCTGCGACACAAGTGCGTGTGGACACACGTGCACTCTGAAGATAGGTACACATACAAACATACGCACACAACTGTGGTTTGCAAAGATGCGGAAAAGCCAGACTTACACAGTCATTTCTGACCCGCTAGCTCTTCACTCAGAAATGGTAACTCCATGGGGAGCTAAGCCAATCTAGTCTTCGCACATACAGCTTACTGGTAACCTAATCTGACTTAGGGAGAAAGCTTAGTGAAACAATGATAGTGACCCCGGGCTAAGACAGGAGGGTCAGCAGTGTCCCTCATGTATTCTAGACACACAGCGTTAGGACAACAGAAGAAACCAAGTCCCAGAACAACTACAGGGTGTGTGACAGGCACTAGAAACAGGGGGAAAGATGTAAAATAAGGAGATATAGTATGCTCTGTATATATTTTGCAATCTTTGGGGAGTTTCTGATTTTACTGTTGGTATCTATAAGTCCGATAGATCAACTCACTCAAACAAACCAAGCGATTTCAAAGCTCAGTCTGCGAGTCGGGGCTGGGCAGCACTCTCTTACCGGGTTTGTAATCGTGATGATCTCTCCTTCACTGACTGACAGCTCGTTATTTCCAGGTTCAGCAGCAAAATCGTACATAACCCGAGCCTGTTGGAGCGGGGAGGGAAGAAGTGACAATCGTAAATTCAACGGTAAGAAATGTAAACCATGCCTACAGTCGACTTGGCGGACGCGCTGCTTGGCCACGCAGGGGCTGTGGCTGTTCTGCAAGACAGGAAGAGGCACTGCCGAACTTCACCCGTCGGGGGGAACCAGTGCACCAATGGACAGTGCCACAAATGCTGCCTCCAAACCTGCCCACTCCACCGAGGAGAAATGGTGCCCTTCCGTTCAGGGGCCAACAAAGCAGAGACGCTCGCACACGCCAGGAAGCTGTGTCTTAGCCATTTTAACTCAGAAATTCAGGATTCAGGGAGCAAGATGCACGTACACTGCTTCACCATGGCACAGCTTCCACAGTGCTGTGCGTGCCAGCCAGTTGGGACTCGCCCCTCTTTCTGGTGTGCCACGTGACCCTTCTCTACATAAGCTCTCCCACTGCGCCAGAGGTGACCCTGTGGGACCTGCCCAGTCTTGGACTGTGCAGAAATGGGAGCCAAGCCAAAGCAGGCCTCTTTCTTCATCAGGGTAGACTTCCTGAGGACTCATTACAGTGAGGAGAAATCATTATGGCCACTGCTGTAAACATGTATACAAGTAGTGTACATAAACGTTCATATTAAAATGTAATTTTAATCTGTTCCAAATACTCAGTAATGGTTTTTCATGGACTGTCTTGCAGAAGTCCACCCTGTGCATTGGAGTCAGCTGTGCTGGGAACCAAGCCTAGTTTGGAAAGTGACCATTTCCTAAAAGGAACATTCTAGTTAACCATCAGGGCTGACCACACCAACCCCGCATTGTGGCAGCCACCTGTGTGGCCCTCCTGCTGGCCATGGCCCCTCCTCCACATGTGCTTGGTGCTGCCCCAAATTCTTTTAACAAGGATTAAGAAGTTACATCTACAGGTAAAACTGGAAAAATAACTCTTGAAATAAAAAATACTATAGTAGCCTAACGAACAAATAGAAGGTGAAACAGGTACTTTGAAGCATTCTTCAAGATTGGATTTAAGACAGTCAATGGAAACTATTTCCAATTTTCTTCATGCTTGAAATGTTTTCCTAATAAAACAATGACATAAAGGGTGGTTCGCATCTGTCATCCCGGCGTGTCCCATGAGAGGTGGGGAAGAGCCGAAGCACGGACTGAAAACGCAAATGCCGTGAGCGCCCTGCTCTGCCTCGGCCCCTCACGGGACAAGAAGGCCACAGCAAAGCAGACTGTTCTGGTCCTGTCCTGGAGGATCAGGCTATTTAAAGCAAACTTCCCAGTCAATCCTCAGGCAAGGAGCTGCTTTCGGGGAGGGGGAGAGCAGCAAGCTCTTCAATTAGTTTCCACACATGAAAAGCTAAGCTTGCTTACTAAGCTTACAATTTGGTGAAACAAGTGAAAGACAGAAATGCAAATTCCTAATGACACGTAAATGTCAGTGAACATACATGTGTTCACTTGAATGTTTTTGCCTTCTGAGACTCAGGTCAAATCCTGACCCCAAAGCAACAGTGAGAAGGTGGGCCCCGGTGGGGAGGGGGCGGAGGACGGATGCTGACGGAAGCCGGCTCTGGCAAGCAGGTGCGTGCTCTCCTACCCCACCCCTGGGCCCTGTGAGGACCATGCCCCCTTCATGGGACACACCACACTGGGGGCACACAGCAGATCTGGCCCACGGGACTTCCCGGCCCCACACTTGACTGAGAGTGCATTTCTGTGTCATTATAAACCACCGGTCTCAAGGCAGCACAAAGACTGAGACACGGAAAAAAAAGGTTTACAAAGTAGGTTTATGTAAAATGGTGCACCAAGACTTTCTAAAACAGAACAGAGATGCTTCTCAGAAATCAGAACAACTCGGGGGAAGCACAAGGACGCAGCGAGCAGACGTCCACACAGGCACTGTCAGTAAAGAAGAAAAGGAGCCCGGCGCCAAGAGGACCCTCAGGTGGACTGGAACCCTCGGGCCGCCCATCACCACCCATCACCGCCTCTGCCTGCCCCTACACGGGCTTTCAGCTCCCTCCCCGCCTCCAGACAGCCGAAGATGCTGCCCTAACCCCAACGGCCACTCAGTCCATTTCTTCCATGCCTTTTAAAGCAATGACCTGTTTTTCTATATTGACTTATCCAACCTATGGTAGCTGTATTTTAAAAGAAATGCTTCCTCAAGTACCTTAAAGAGCCAATTTTCCACAAGTTTCCTGGTTAGGAGGTGATTTCAGGCCGTATTTTCTTCACATGCTGTGAACCCCCATTAATTTCTTCTGTAACAGGTCCTGAAGTGCTACAAATAGCCCATCAATCAATAGCACATCAATCTTCCCCACCTGTTCCATTCACCGCTAATCTACTTGCTAGTCAAATGAGTCAGTGGTTTCAAAGCTCTCAAGAGATGGACTCAGCTGCTGGAACATGAGCAGCCACACACCCCTCTCCTCCTTGACACCCATCTCTGCAGGGAAGGGAGGGGTGAGCGCCTACCCTTTCTAACCTAGAGTGCAAGAATCTGCTCTTCCGCCCGACACTTCCCTGTCTCCAGGAACCCTGGGACCACAACCCACACAGGTACAGAGTAGCCCTCTCTTTGGGCTCTTGGCTCCGGTGCCAGAGGTTAGGGGTGAAGGTGTGCTCCTTGGGAATTTTGCAGTGAGCCAGCTGTACATTTTCAGGATTCAATGAACTGCTGCTACCAACAGTTTTCTGAGTTATGGGGCTGGCATTTTTGGGCAGCAGCTAGTTTTGATTCTGATGCCATGATCCAATTATTCCTTATCATTTTCTGTTAGGAATTACTAGAGAACTGGATAAGTTGCTTTATATATAATTTTACCTGCATCATAAATGTTATTAACATACAGCAGGACCAAAGTCCAAGATGCTTGCACACAAGAAACTCAATAAAGTATCATGTTTAGAAATGTTGCTCTCAGGGCCCAGCGTGATAACGTAGTGGTTAAAGTCCTTGCCTTGCGCGCGCTGGGATCCCATGTGGGCACTGGTTCTAATCCTGGCAGCCCTGCTTCCCATCCAGCTCCCTGCTTGTGGCCTGGGAAAGCAGTTGAGGACGGCCCAAAGTCTTGGGACCCTGCACCTGCATGGCAGACCAGAGGAGCTCCTGGCTCATGGCTTCGGATTGGCTCAGCTCCAGCCCTTGTGGTCACTTGGGGAGTGAATCATTGGACAGAAAGTCTCCCTCTCTGTCTTTCCTCCTCTCTGTATATCTGACTTTCCAATAAAAATAAATAAATCTTAAAAAAAAATGTTGCTCTCAGAATTCCCAAGGAAGGAAATCAGGGCTGTTTCCCCCAACAGTCACAAGCATTTTTCTTTAATAATTCATTCAAGGATATAGTGAGGATGATTGAGTTAAAGGTTTAATGGTTGTTGTGTGGAATCTTATCCCAACAGAAGAAATTTCTTTAAGCAACTGGTAGCAGTCATTGAGAATGGCTGAAGATATATTTTTTCATATACAGAATTTTCATGAATAAACTATCAGTGAGTTGATACAGCCTTTAAATTTTAAAGTGATTTATTTATTTGCAAGGCAGAGTTAGAGAGAGGGAGGAGGGGGAGAGAGATTCCCTGAGGATGGAAGATTCCTTCTCTCAGTCTCTCTCAAAACAACTTAATTAGATGTTTTTCAAACCAGCGTGTGGTAGGCTACCAGCTGGGATGCCCACTCGCCTTATCAGAGAGGATGAGGCTGACGGCTGTGTTGGGTCTGAGCGCTGCCTTCGCTCTCAGTCAGCTTCTTGCCCATGCAGCCCTGGAGCATGGCAGGGATGGCTCAAGGGTGTGGGCCCCTGCCACCCTGTGGGAGACGTGGAAGGAGTCCAGGGCCCTCAGCTTTGGCCTGATCCAGTCCCGGCCCAGCCCCAGCTGCTGTGGCCACGAGAGGAGTGAACCAGCAGATGGAACGTCACTCCCCCTATCTGCCCCTCCCTCTGTGACTCTCACCTCAGTAAATGCATCTTCAGTGACATGAGCAGTAGTGCAGCCAACTGAAGCAATCTTGCTCTTCAGAAAAATATAAATAATTGTTAAATATACAAAATAATACTCACTTTATACAAAAGGAAAAAATAATTTGGTAGATTCTTCCAGACTTCTCTCCACTAGTAACTGTAGTATTTAAGCGTATTGGCAATGTATATGCAAATAACAGTTCCCCATAGTGTCACAAACAAAATAAACCACCTGAGTTTTGGATCTCTGCCAGACACCCTGCTTATATGATCACTCATGTGCAGCCTGATGCTGACTCTCCCTCCAATTAGGAATCGGGACTGGGGCCAGTATTGTGGTGTGCATATTAAGCCACACCTGTAATGCTGGAAACCCGTGTGGCTGCCAACTGAGTCTCAGGTGCTTCACTTCCAATCCAGTTCCCTGCTAACGTACCTGGGAAAGAAGTGCTTAGGTCAACAGAGCAAAAGCCGATGTGATAAAATTGAAGGCACAGAAAACATGCACCTTGGGACACATCCTCTCTAAGATGTATTTATTATTTTTATTGGAAAGGCAGATACACAGAGAGGAGGAGAGATAGAAAGATCTTCCAGGGCCCGGCGCGGTGGCGCAGCGGATAAGGTCCTCGCCTTGCACGCCTGGGATCCCATATGGGCGCCGGTTCTAATCCCAGCAGCCCCGTTTCGCTTTCAGCTCCCTGCCTGTGGCCCAGGAAAGCAGTCGAGGACGGTCCAAGGCTTTGGGACCCTGCACCCGCGTAGGAGACCCGGAAGAGGCTCCTGGCTTTGGGTCGGCATAGTATCGGCTGTTGCGCTCACTTGGGGAGTGAATCATCAGACAGAAGATCTTCCTCTCTGTCTCTCCTCTCTGTATATCCGCCTTTCCAATAAAAAAATAATAAAAATAAATCTTAAAAAAAAAAAAAAAAAAGAAAGATCTTCCATCCGCTGGCACTCCCCAAGTGGCTGGAGCTGGCACTTAGCTGGAGCTGAGCTGAATCTCCCACACGGGTGCAGGGT